ATAACATTATATTCTATTTATTATTTATTATTTATATATGGAGGGCGTCAGATCCAAGAAAAATCAGAGAAATGGAAGGGAAGCATTGCAGCATGGACTTGTTCTTGTTATTATTATTTTATTTTGTCTTTTAATTTTTAAATATAATATCGTAATTATTATTATTATCATAACATATTGGCAAACAATTCCAGAACCATCCATCCCTATTAATTTCCTAAAGATGGGTTAACATTAAAAGTTTTAAAATCGTGTCATACACCTCATCCCTCCGTTTAAATTATTAAAAAAATTATTTAGAAACATTTAATCTATTAAATCATATAAACTAGCTTAGTCGATTCAAGTCATAATCGCACTCTTGCAACAACAAGAGTGACATCGATTATGTGCCATTCGTTCTAATATGGTAAACAAGTAAGTCACGTTTGATAGAAAACGTGTTTATAAAACGTGAGTAAGGAAATGCGTTGAAAACAACCACAATTTTGCTAGCATATAATCTATGTAATAAGAACTTAAACTAGTCACATTCCCCTATGGTACATTTTGGGACATTTTATGATGTGAAATCAACCGCCTAATCAATAAAAGAATGGAGTAACAATAAATACAAAGTGCCCCTAGCTTTGTAAAATCAAGCATTATTGGTGCTTATCATTCTAGCTCTAGCGGGTACAGACATGATTTTGATAAATAGCATACATCCCGTATTGACATGACAAGAATAGTAAAGACCTAACTACCCATGAAAGCATGACCGGGACATCGTGTTGTAGTTTTGGAATTAATTAAGCAATATAGTTTTTTTAAAAAAAAAAAATACTTTATTTCTTTCATTTTATTTAATCTCCATCATATAATATCCAAGTAATAGTAATGAGAAAAATAATCACAAACTCTTATGTTATACTAAGTGTTAGTTAAGCCCACATAATTCCCTATCAATTAAGATATTAATTAGTAATGAATTTTCAAATAATATTTGTTTGTAGTGAATTTACCGTTCTACCCCTGTCGATAATAAAACACATTAATATATTAAACATCTTTATAAGCCTCCACATGGTCATGTTCCCCAAAGAAAGAAAATAATAATAATAATAATAATAATTCCCTAATGGCTTCCACACCCAAAATCATTACAAAATGCAATAATTAATACAATAAATTAAAAATAAAAAAAATAAAAAAAGTAAATTAAGAAGAGAGAAAGGCATAAATAAAAGCAAAACCCATTATAATTGTTTTTTGTGATTAAACAGACAAACAAACAAACAGCCAGACAGGATAGGAGAGAGATAGAGAGAGGTATAGAGAGAGAGAGAGTTTATTTTCTTGTTTCCTATTACAAATTAATTAATTAATCTCCCAAATCTCTTTTAATATCTATTTACCAATCACAACATTCAAAATTTAAATTTAAATTAAAAAAAAAAAAAAAACACAAATATTGCAATCAGACTCCTCTTTCAGCTTCTGCTTTTGCATTTTTCCATCGCTCTTGGGGCTGCAAAATGTAATTCCCACTTACTTTAGGGGCTTAAATGCAAATCTTATTTCTTATGTATTATAAACTTTTTATACATACCGAGCCCGATAGCTTCCGATCCCTTCATTATCCTTAAGCGCTTGCATGAATCAACGAACATCCTAAAAGTATAAAGCATAATTAGATTAACGGATGTAAAAGTTGATTGGCCGTAGAGATAAGCAACTTACTCCCATGGGACATCTCCCACCAGCATCCAATCACCATCCTTATCTTCATAGGTTGGCACGTATTCAGAGCTGTTTAGAAGATCCATCAACTTGCTTTCGTTCATGAAATCTATCATTCCTTGGGCCCCATACTCACCTTTAC